AGATATTTTGTATGGATATAGAGAAGGAGGTAAATGGAAATGTATTATTGTATAGCAGCTGTCCACGCGGACGCATCGCTCACTCAAGTAGGAGAGAGACAGATGTCGAACGCTGCCGAACGCGGAGGCCGATTGTGCCTCTTTGTCGCTCGTTCCGCGCTATCGCTTGCACTTCAAGCCTCAAATGGAACGCCTCAGAGCGAGGCGTCGAATTATAAGACGTTGTCACGTCAAAAATTCAATAAAAAATGGTTTCACACTGACCAGATCCTGCGCCAATCACAAATAATACTGAACAAATCGGTTTTCTCTTCAACATATTTTGTTTGCTTTCTCTACAAGCGACCGACCATTTTGTTATCATATATGTATACATACACATATGCCGATAAACCACTCAAGCAAAGTATTTTCCTCGGATTTGATTTACGGGTATTGAGATTTCAAACTCAAAACTTATTTTTATCAAAATACAATATAGCCTTTTTGTAGTTTTCTGTTAGACTTCGCATAATATTATTAGGTAGATAATACGTTTTAGCTGTGTGACTAATATTAATCTGCTATAGGCAAGAAAAACTGGCAGTAGGAGACTTGTTTACTACCTAATAAGGACGATAAAGAAAGGACTGTTTTGAAAATTTCTCAAAGTCCTTTTGCTTTTGTAAAATATCTCAATCAGTCTCGTCGGGAATTTGATTATTATTGAAGATATTTTATGATTTATATGGTTCATAATCATAAATATGTATATCTTCTTTCTATAAGAAAAACTAGAAGCAGCTAGCTCATTAGCAAACTCATTTACTGCTTTTTGTACTTTAAAATCCCTAAGGATGGTTCAGAAAGGAATATTTTTAATATTTCAAGAAAACCGTTTCTACCCCGTAGATAATGAAACTCCTCTCCTTCATTACTTTGGCACAAATTCCAGCCAAGTAAAGTACGACTTTTTTGCTGAATTCTGTTTATTTAAATGAATTCTGTCGTTGAAGGCTTTAGTATCATTAGAATTTCTCCGTGTGTGCTGTAGACCGACTTTAGAAATGTTAAACCATCAAGAGAAAAAATTTCATCATTAATGTAACTCCGAAGAAGTAATGCTCCTGACGATGTGCAAGTATATTTTCGTCTTTTTACAAGAAACGCATTAGCAAATTTTCGATTATACCGAAAATGAGTGAAAGTTTTAATAGCAAAACAGGTGTTCTAATTAAATTATTTAAACTTTATCGTAGACGGAGTAATTAGAATTAGGCGACGATGTTTTGCAACACATTAATAATAAGTTTGTACTTTCAACTGATTAATATTTATGAACTTTATGGCATCGTCTCTGCAAAATACGTAGTCTCTACTAAAACAGTTGCATTATAATATTTTCATCTTGTTCAACTAATCGGCAATGTTCAACAATAATTCAATTTTTGTTTAGGTATGTACCTAGGTAATAATACTATTTTTGACGTGACAACGTCTTATAATTCGATGGAGCCGGCTGCACGCACGAAAAAAGATGATTCATGCGGCGTTACCTCGCTCTGAGGCGTTCCATTTAAGGCTTGAAGTGCAAGCGATAGCGCGGAACGAGCGACAAAGAGGCACAATCGGCCTCCGCGTTCGGCAGCGTTCGACATCTGTCTCTCTCCTACTTGAGTGAGCGATGCGTCCGCGTGGACAGCTGCTATACAAT